ATCAGGTGTGTGGTGCCAATGTGTCTCTTGCTCTAAGTCCTACCTCACAGCTTCTCTTTTCTTGTTCTGCAAGGGAAACAATTTTTGGCTGGGTATTCTAAAGGCTACTCTGGTGAAAAAGTGCTGGCCAGGCCAGTGGTGCTGCATCCACACATTGGTTTTGAGACTTGAACCAATCCAGAAACTCATCATTCTCCAACACTCCCTGCATGGACCTGCCACATTCTTCAGTGAAACTTTGACATACAGCATCCTGCAGCTGGAAGAAATGTGTGGAAACAGGGCAAAGGTCTCAGAAAAACAAAATACATCACATTCATATGTGATCAGTTTTGTGATTGTTTTGGCCATATTTACCATTTTGGGTGTTGATGGATTTAGGGGGTTGGAGTAAAAAGTATTGGACTATGTCAACAAGGATTTAAATTTATTTTTTAGGAAGTCTGATGATGAAATAAATATGAGTTCTGGGAGGTTCGAGATTTTGAAAACTTCCTTCCTTCTTCCCAGAGATACATTCAGCAAGACACCCAAAATGGTGCAGGCACGTGTAGTGAGTGGCTGTTAAAGAACCGGGAACCCAGCAAGCTTCCAGTACCAGCAAGGCCTGCGCTGCGTGACAGTGATCATGGTAAGGCCTTCCCACAAGGCAGCCTCCTCATGGGGATAAAAGCTACTCCAACAGCCCGTGCTTCATTGCCCCCCTTTTTGCACCCACGATGGATTGTTGTGCATCATCCAAGCCCAAGTGACTAACTCCATTGCAGTCACAGGGCAGCAGACCTCTTCATAATGGCAGCGAAACCACCTCCAAGCTCTTGCTGAGCCATCCTGGATCACCAGCAGGTTCCTGAGTAGCTTTTGGGGGCAACTATTGCCACTCCCCCTAAGGGAAGCTCTACCTTTTTACAGGAGCTGTCAAAATCCCATAAATACAGTGGCTTGCATTTTTCTTTCAGTTTCTCAAGCACCTTCCTGGAAAGGGGATGATCTACACATCATCTTCATTTGCCAGCAAAGATTTCTTCATGGTTTTCCTTTCTCTTGACAGCTCCCTGTTTGACCGTCCTGAGATGCTTGTAGTGGATTGTATATACACTAAAAGTTTTTAATGAATGAATGAATGAATGAATGAATGAATGAATGAATGAATGGAGAGCTCAGGGGAAAGCAAAGCAAGAATTAACTGATCTGTAGCATTGTTTCATCAGTGTTCCTAGACTGTGCCTCTTGCATGCTTCCAGGACATTGATGAGGCAAGGTTTTCATTTCAGTCACCTAAAAGTGCAAAAAGGTGCAGTCAGAAAGGCTAGTTTCTGGTTTGTTTTGCTTTGTTTGATTTTGGGTAGGTTTTTTTACATGAAGACTTGACACAAATCGCAGACACAAAGTGCTGGGCCAGTTACAGCCTCTGTGCTGTGCCACTTGGGCAACTTGTGGGAGCTGTTGTGACTGTCATTTATCACCATCTGCAGAAAAAAATGGAGGTCCTGCCATGAGGAGAGGAGAGAGAGAGGAGAGGTCCTGCCATGGGGCCCCGTACAACATCTGTGAGAAAACCAAGGGGGAAGTGATATAGGGGGAATAACTCACAGTGGGCCTGATTGTCTGTTGGGTGCACCATGGATAGTTTTACCAGCAACCTGCCCTGTGTAGTGCATTGGTAGGATGGGTTATTGCAGCGTGCAAATATTCCCAGTGTTGTATCTCTCATATAGTGGTCACGTGTCCTACTTTACATAGGACAGTTCTCTATTTAAAGCACTCACCAGTCCAAGTCCAGTTTAAAGCTGAAGGGAGAGCAGCTGGGACCCTGAAGCTGCCCATCACCAGTTGGGAACTGGTCCCTTGTCACAGTCCTCCCCATGATGGTGAGATGTATTTTATTTCTGTTTACATCTCCAGTTCTGATCGATGCATATAGGTAAGCCTGTGCAGCATTCATGCAAATTTCTGACTCCTTTTCTGGTAATGCATGTGTCCTCTTTTGGCAATGCCTACTTGTCCGTTGTAGTCTTGACACCTGCACCAAACCAAATTCACTCTTTCTCAGCGTGTGAGCCAGATGGCTGGTGATTTAGCCAAGCTCCCCATATACCTGGACTGTGACAGTGGCTCTCCAAGCCTCTCTGGCTACCTGGGCTCTTTTCCATTGGAGAGGAACCTTTTGATATAGTCATCACTATTCTCAATGACCATGGAAACTTAGCCCAAGGGTGACTTGGGTATCACGGCTGGAAATCCAGTGCCATTCCCTGCTTGACAGCTGGCTAAGGGGACTGTACTGATGAGTCTACTTAGGATATACTGTTTGTTTGGAAGAACATACAAGGATGCTGGGAGTTCCAGGCCTCTTCTCTGTCTAACATGCACAGGATTGGACCTTTAGGGAGCAAGACCTAGCCTACATGCACCTGTCCACATCCACATCTCAAAGACTGTCAAATTATTATTATTATTATTATTATTATTATTATTATTATTATATTGTTGTTGTTGTTAATGACATTTTGTAATTAGTCATGTCTGAAGCAATTCTATGGGGCTGCCATAAAATTGTAGGGTGAAGGCAACCTCTCCTTTTGCAGTGCTTATTCAATGTGGTTTCACAGATAGCCGTCCTGTCCCTTTCACGTCGTCAGAATTGACTAAGTTGCCCTTCAGGTTCATTTGCAACCACCACAGCCTTTATTAGAAATGAGTCAGTGGATTAACCAATGGCTGGAAAGATTAACATGAGCAAACGTTTTGGATTAACGAAAAGCGAAGATGCTGCCAGAAGCAAGAAATGCAGAATGGGGATCCGCTCAAGAGTCTTCAGGAGAAGATGCACATTGTAGCCAGTCAATGCAGATTCAGATTAGAATCGGGGCTGAATTTCAGTGGGCCACGAAACAGGAACATGCTGGGGCACCTCAGTTTGTGTTTCTGCAGTGCTCTGGTGAGAGAAGGAGAGAGGGAGAATGAATTGGAATCACGTAAAACCAAAACCTTTTCCAGACTTTGCAAATTCAGTATGTCTGGGAGCATGTTTACAAACCCAGGCCTTGGAAGCTTTTATCGTAGGGTTGCTTTCCTGAAAGAGCAACCCCTTTTGTAACTTGCCAGAAGTATGCAAAGAGCTGCTTGTTTTTGAGAGGTCACTTCATTCCACCAGTTTCATTTTGTCATCAGTCCCTTTAGTGGGCATGGAAAAAGGATAAAGGATGCAGGTCCTCAGCTGCATCCATGCCTGAGCCCTCCATGTACTAAATCAACCATACTGGGCAAGATGTCAACATGCAAGAAGGAAGGGTGGTTAAATTCCGTCCCTTCGTGTGTCCAGTCCAAGGGTGAAGTTTTGGATGCCATATAGCAGGTTCCCTCAATTTGCTGGCTTCCATGTGCCTTACCTAACACACCATCATCCCAGCTATCATGACGTTATAGGCCAAAGATCTAGCGAGCATCAGAAGACTGCTAGAGAAGGTGAAAATAAGACACCTTGACTGTTGAATAAGCGCAAACTTGTGGCCATTTAACAATGGCTTGTAGAGGAGTTACTTTAAAAAAAAACCCTCAAACATCACATTTTTCTGCATGCATTTATTACTTGTCTATGCTGCCTTTTTCCTCTTGCAAGGAACTCAAGGCAGCTGACATAATCCAAGCCTGTGGCTTGCTCACAGTGAACTTCACAGCTGAGTGGAGTGAGATCTAGAACCCAGATCTTCCAGGTCTCCAGTCCAGCACTCAGGCTGCCTCCCCATACTGGCCCTCTGGGAATCTAACAATTTAGCATGTGGTTCTCTTTTACCACCCTTTCTATCACAATAACGATTTTAATACCAGTATGTGAGTACTACCACTGAGGTCTGATGAATACTGAAAACATCAGCCCTTAAAACTATGGCTCAACAATAGCAAAGGTTTACCTCTTTCAGTTCAGGACTCGAAAGAAAATACTTTCAGGGCTGAAACGTTTTGGGGTTGGAGGAGTAGCTTAAATGTGCTAATGTTTGCCTTTTCACAGAGACTTGTGACAAATCACCAAAATGGAGTTGCTTTCAGTCTTGACAAGAATGTATGCAAAAAGCATCTCTTTCAAAAGTAACAATGGCCACAAACCCCAGAGTTCACGCCAAATCCAGAAGTGGGATGCATGGTTTTACAGCTGGCCACAGAAAGTGCTGTTTGCCTCCACTAGTGCAAAGCAGGAGTAACCAAGCAGGTTGCTCTCTCTGGATGGAAAATGTAGGTCACCTGGCTGCTCCCACTGCAGACGTGACTATTGGCGATGGGATTGCCGTTGAGTCGAAGAACTAACTCTTCCCATTCTCCCAGCCGAAGACGGGTGGCTGGATCCTGCTGCTCTCCTATGAAAGAAGAAGGTAATTCCAGCTGAAAGGAGAAAGAGCACCTGAGGTGTTCTGGGCTGGTCTTTGCTCACCTCATTCCTATCGGGGCTCGCTTGGCTTTGTGTCTCCCCCAGTCAGAATGTGGGACCCGCTCAGTACCTATTTGTGCCTAGGCTTGGGAAGAGAAAGAAGGGGGAATCCTTTGTCCAAATAAGGTAGCGCTACCTCATCACACAGACACTTGCATGCAAATTAGCAGATTCACTACCACTGCGTGCATGCACACTTTCGCACAAGTGCCCAAGGAAACAGCACTGCAGCAGTTTTTTGTCCTGATAAGAAGCCGCTGCAGGACTTGTCAGTCAGGCAGCTTCTAGGGTGCTGCTCTCTGTTTGTTCCATTTGAATGAGGGGACCCTCCTTATTTCCGTGGGACTCAATGCTTGGTTTTGCAGCCAAGAGTTCCCCTCTATTTTAAAATAAAGCGTTCTTTTTGCTCCTGCTGTTTTTAAAGAAGAAAGCCTCATCGTCTTGCCTTGATTGGGTTTTGGACACAGCAGAGCCCACGGGTTTTTTGCTTCGAGATGACCCAAAGTCACCTGTAGTTGTGACGTGCCATCAAATCTTGTTTGACTTAGTGCAGCGCCACTCATTCCTTGCCAGCTCAAGGCTGTGGCTTCCCAACTGGAACTGAGCCACCTCCTGGTTGTGCTTCCTTGTCTTCTTCCACCAGGTTCATCTGGGCTGTGTTTACTTCCAGCCCTGGGTGGAAGTAGTCAGCTTTGCCCTATAACAGGGATGCAAAAGGTGTAGGGTGCAGGATGCCCCCCCAGGGCCTGTTGGGTGTCCCCCAGAGGCCCCACCATGGGTAAGTTCACGAAGAAGAAAATGTGGGGAGGGGATGAAATATATACCTACCCGCCCCCTCAGATCAGCTCAGGAGGCCCTTCTACACGAACCACCCCTCAGGGAGAAGAGAGGGGTGGCAAGAAGACGAAGGGCCTTTTCTGCCTCTGCTCCCCATCTTTGAAACTTCCTCCTGAGGGAAATTTGCCTGGCACCATCTCCGTTTTCCTTTCGGCGCCAGGCAAAGACATATCTTTTTAGGAATTTTTTTTAACATTTAGCCTGCATGCTGTGGCCCTTTTTAATTACTTTTATAGATGTTTAATTCATTGTGTTTTAATTGGTTTTAATGTGTTTTACTCTGTTCATAAGTTTTATGTTTTGTAAGCCGCCTAGGAAGGCCTCGGCAATTAAAGGTGGCCTATAAATACATGTGAGTGAGTGAGTGAATGAAAATCTTCCAGGAGCAGGTGCTACAGTTCCTGCCATCACTGCAGGAAATATACAAAGGAGGCAGCCCTAACACAAACTAATTAGCTTTGGTATTCCAGCAGGGTCTGCAGCTCGTATCAAGAAATCATTGAAGAGGTATGGATGGTGCATTGTATATTTTCATGGAAGAGGGGACAGTGGAGACTAAACAACTTGCTAAAAGGCCTCATTGGGCATTTACAACATGAATAGGCCTTGCAAGGCTAGATGGGTCTGGAGCTGGGCACGGGCTATGCATCCCCCTTGCATGGGACCGGCACCCCGGTGGCATAGCCATGATCTCAAGCCTCGTCCCTGTGGGACTCAGCACCAGCATGGCAAGTGGGTTTCCTCTTTCCAACTTGCAGTCCCAGGGAAACCTGATGCTGTGACATCCCCAAGTGGTGCTTTGGCAGGTCAGCATTACATTCGAGAGCTGAGCTCTGGCACAGTCCCGATGTGGGGCAGGGGAACGCCAGGTCAGCGCAGCGGCACAGGTGAGGACGTGGGTGCTAGATGCAGGTCCCCCATGAGGGACTCCTCCCATGGTTTGTGGATTTGTGCCCAGACCGCCTGGAAGGAAAGACATTCCCAGCAGGACCCGGGAGAAATAACCCTTCCCATTAAGCATCCCTGGCTGATCCCCAGGCTACGCACCCATTGTCCGGCTGGCCGCCTTCTAGCAGGCCGCGGTATGTCTGAATCTCTTGCTCCAGCCGGTTCTTGACATCCAGGAGCTCTTTGTATTCTGCATCCTGGCCTTCTGTTTCCAGGCGCAGCTCTGCCAGCTGCTGCTCCGTGCAGGCAACCTGGTCCTGAATTTTGGCTAGCTGGGCATGGAAGCGACGTTCAACTTCAGCCAATGACACTTGCAGTGTGTCCCTCTGGGGGAGAGGAGAGAACTAGGTGTGTTCCAACAGAAAAGGGACCGCAGCAGGCAGCATGCCCCAGCCAGGGTAGGGAGCCGGGATCCATAGGGCAGGGGTGATTGCTAGGGAGGGGTGTCCCTGATGCAGTGGGGGATACGTGGCACCGCCTCTTGGGAATGAGCTGGTGGTCTGGGGAAGAAGCGTGGCTTCTAGATCGAGAGAGGTATTACTGCCATTCTATACGACTCTGGTGTGCCCACAAATGGAGGATTGTGTTCAGCTCTGGGCTCCGCATTACAGGAAGGATACAGCCAGGTTAGAGTCAGTGCAGCGCAGGGCCACCAGGATGGTGGCCAGATTGCAGGGAAAGCCGTACAAGGAGAGACTGAGGGAGCTGGGTCTTTTCATCCTGGGAGGAGGAGACTCAGAGGGGACCGTTAGCGACATACAGGTATGTGAGGGGTGCCACGCAGATGTGGGACACAACCTTTTTTCCTCTGCACTGGAGGGCAGGATGCATTCCAAAGCTCAGGAAACCAAGATTTAGGGTGGATGCAAGGAAGTACTTCCTGATGGTTAGGTCCCCTAGGGTATGGAATGGGCTTCCACGGGAGGTGGTTGAAGCCCCAACGGTGAGGGTGTTTAAGGACAGGCTGGACATGCACATGGGAGGCATGTCATGAGTGGAGCCGGCTGGAGCCAGGGGTCAGACTAGATGGCCTTGGAGGACCCTCTGACTCGCACTGTTTCTATGTTTCCAAGATCCAACATGGCCCCGCTCTGACCTCATCATTCCTTTGATGCTCTTGGCAGAGCGCCACGTTCGTTGAGGGCCACTAGCCCATGCATTCGGGCATGTGCTCCCAGCCAGTGGCCAGACAGCACTCCAAAGCATGGCACTGCTGAAGCTCGAGCGGCAGGCAGGGACCTTTTGCTACTGGAATGGGAGCTGCTCTCTTCCGGAAAAGCGTCCATTCCAATGGCCTTACCAGACTGCACTGTGCTTGAAGATCAATCTTGAAAGCCCGCAGCCGGCATTTCAGATCGGTGACTTTACGGTCGCCATCCTCTGCTTCCTGGCTACAGAATTCCTGGCTGGCCTCTTCCAGCTGGAACACAAGGACCAACCACCAGCATTGCCAGGACTTCTATTTGTTATCCATTGTGCAAGAAAGTGGAGCTAAAACTCCATTGACATTGGCCCAGCGCTGTTGCTCCTGGCCAGGACCACCACGATCTTACACTTCGGTGCATTCTCTGATCTATTCTCTAATCTTAAAAATTTTTTTAAAAAAGGGAGGTTAGAGATCCCAAGAAAATCTGAGAGATCTATGGTTTCCAGGGATTTTGGGACTCTTATTTTCCTTTTCTATGATATACATAAATGTATTCACAGGAAAAATTGGAAGTTGCATACACCATCTGAAAAAATTACTCAAATAGGTACGTATGTCATTAAACAAAACAGAACAAAACCCACACATCTCTGATACTACATCTCCCTAAATTAAAATACATCCTCAGCCTCCATATAGCATTCTTTCTACTCTGCTCTTCCATAGTGGCAGAAGTAGATAAATATGCAAAAGGTTACAGGCTAACGGATGTTATGTCAGTTGCTACAAAACTTATAATGGAATTTTTAATGTACTTTTTCACAGCCCCTCTCAAAAAATTTGATTCCATCCATGGAGAGGCCATGGAACTTAGACAGAATAGATCCAACATCCAGACATCCCTGCTCCCAATTCCACGATCTGATCAAATTCTGCACATTTGGATGCACATTTTCCTCTGCATTCTTTACTGTTTTCTTTTCGCCACAAGAAAAGGTAAATGCCTACTCAGAGGCAAGTTCCACCCTGCCCTGGTTGGGGACCCTGTGAGTAGAGATAGGCTCAACCTTTCCCTATTCCAGCTGTTTCATCTTGATTCCCCAGTGGCCTGTGATTTTGGGGTCTTGGTCCACCAAAAAATAGTGTACAGAACTTTGTGAACTTCTTTTGCAGACATTTTCAGTCTGTGCTCATTTCTAAGTACTTTTCAATGAACAAATCACTCCTGTGTCTATTTTTTTGTCAGATACACAGATCTTCCTGACCTCTTTTGGAATGTACATGTCAAAAATGCACACCAAATACATCCTTTAAAAATGCTCACAGACCCATGGTAGTCTTTATATTTGTTTGTTTGGAAACTGTCCTGCAAGATTCAGGGATGGATGACATTTGAAAGCAAGCTGGGCTCTGATCCCTATGTAAAGTTTGGGCACTGTAAGCTGACTAAGTGGGCATTTCTGGCCTGTCTCCCCCATCCCTACCTGCAGGCCCCACCCTTCCTCTGACAGGCCTCCCTCCTTCCAGGGGAAGACGCACTGCTTACTTCGCCTTCAAACCACTGGGCGCTCTCCTTGCGATTTGCGTCTATCATCGCTTCGTACTTGCGCCTCATCTCCTCCAGGCTTTTCCTCAGATCTGGGCCAGGGCAGGTACCGGCTTCCATGCTGGCGTCACCTGCTCGTTTCTTCAGACAGATTAATTTCTACAGAGAGAGCCCCATCTATTAACATCACATCTTGATTGTCCTATTATAAAAAGGGTGGGTTTCATACAACGTCAGGAACTTTCCTGGGGAAGGCAGATCAGACAACTGGCACACAGGGCTCAACCACACCAATGCATTCTGCCGACACAGTGCTGCTGCCAACCCATGCTCAGAAGCTATCTGATTCCGCTGCAGCTGAAGCTGAGCATGCAGCCGTCTGGCACCAGAGGCTAGCCCAGACTATGCCCAGACTACGCCACCAGTATCTGACCTGCACCCCTCCCCAGTTCCGAGCCGCGTGAGCATCGCCCTTAAAGCCCTAAATGGGCTGGGTTATTGAATAATGCCTCATCCCACATGAGAGCCCCCAGGGTGGTGTCTGGGCAGGACCGAGCTTTCTTGGGGGTGATGCCCAGCCTTGGTTCCCCTTCCTCACAGAGGGAGCTCCTCTGTTTCCCCCTCTCCAATCACAGATTGGTTTGGGGATCCTCCTGATCCACTGGACTTCAGTGTTATTTAGCCTCTTCCCTGTATTTGTGCATTTGACTGTACCACTTGCTTGCTTCTGCGCTGCTCAGATTGTCTGAATATTTGATGTCAGCCCCTTTGCATTTTCATACAGCTCTTTGCTGCTTCTGGGACCCTTTGGTTAAAAAGGCAGCCTCTAAATTGGGGGCTGGGGGGTAGCTTGGGGTCCTCAGGCTTCATGCAGCCTTCAGGCTAAATCAGTGCAGCCCTCAGCCTAGCTTCAGAAGTCATCTCTGTGCAACCACTTCAGACCTTGGGTGGGAAACAAAGTATGCCCTGGGTCTAGAGGGGGTTATATTTTGCTGTGCCAGTTGCATACCTCCTCACGGGTTGTCTTGAGAGCACGCAGCTCTCCTTGCAAAGTCTCAAGCTTGGTTTCCAGGTCAGCCTTACAGTTGGACAGTTCGTCAAAAATGGGGTACAAGGTCTTAAGGTCAGCCTCTACGTTCTCATGGATGCTACATTCAGTCTCAAACCTACATCAAGAAAAGAGGAAAGACTCTTGGTTGTGGGGGGGGGGGTGCTTACCCTAGGCCCTTGGTGGGGGATTCACCCTAGGCCCTTCTGCCAGCCCTGAAAGGCCTGACTAACTGGTGTGTCCTATGACACCTGTTCCCAAACCGTCTCCTCATTCTGTTTCTGCCATGATATCCCAAATCTCTTCAGACCAGTTGCAGCATGAGCTTTTTCCTAGGGTACACTTTCCCATGTGCACTAAACCTGTTTGGGGATGGGGCAACAGAGGGGAGAGTGGGCTGATGCACAGGTGAGGAGCGTTACTTTAAGAGGAAGTTCAGAAAAACAGAATTGGGTTTATCTCCCCTTCCACTCCTCCTCAATGATTTTTGTGAGGGGGCAGGAACAGCTGTCAATTCCTTCCTATCTATTCTCTCTCCTCTTCATGGTTCCTCTGTGCATAACTGGTTAATGGGGAGAATTTTTTTTTCCAAGTGCCATTTCTCTGCATGCAGCCCCTTTCTAATTCTTCCAACTACTCCTGCAATTGCATTTGTGTGAGACACAAGTTTCCAGCCCAGTGGAAATGGCACTGTACATATGAGTATGTGCCCCGAGAAGAGTAAAGGTGCCTTGTATACACTCCATGAAAGTGCTCCCGGATAAATGGAATGGGACCTCTTCAAAGATTGTACATTGCTGGGCTACGTCTGACTTATTTAGTAAACATGCTTAATTCTTTATCGCTAACAAAGCAACTAAACTCCAGACTCCACAGATTTCCTCACTTAATAATTATAAAGTGCATGAAACAACTGAAAGCCAATCTCCTTCCACCCCACACACCCCATTCTCACGCCCAACACTGGAGGTTAGTCACAGTCCTATGGAAAATATGGGAGGGATACATCCGCTCTAGGGAAAAGAATATTAGCGACTGGACATTAGAAAAGCAGTACAATGAGAAGATCTGATAAGTTTCATTTTTGGCTGGCTTTGAAAATCTTTGCATCTCAAGGAAGTATTGAGACAAAGAGAGACAGCGTTCGCTCTGTTGGAACTCTGTTTTTAATGACACACAGTAACAGAGAGAGGAGGGTGGAAAATTGTGTTCTTGCTTGAAGAGCCACAAAAAATTTACTTCTTGCATTTCATGAAAAGCCCAGTCTTGCATTACTGTCCATGTGAAACTAAAATTGGTAGGTGTTTGGCAAGGAAGGAATGACTAACAAGCAATTTTCATGTAGCTGGACAGGAAGAGTTTTAGGATCATTACATCTTCTCCCAAATTGGTGCTCCACCTTTGGGTTACTTATATAAAATTAAAGAGAACTAGGCATTAGCAAATATAATGCCATTCTGACCAAAAGAAAAAAAGAGTTCTTTTTGGATTTCTCAAATCCTGAGTTCTTTGGGTTTTCCAAACACTGAGTTGGGCCAAGCAGAAGTTGGTCATTTTCTGAAGTGCCAAACTGGGGTCCTGAGTTGGAGCAGGCAGGGGTTCCATGCATCGAATCATAAAACAGCAGAGTTGGAAGCAGCCAAGAAGGCCATCGGGTCCAACCCCCCGCTGGTGCAGGACACCAAGTTACACCATCCACTCAGATGACTGTCCAGTTTCATCCTGAATGCTTCTAGTGTGGGAGACCCCACGGCCAACCTAGGCAACTGGCTCCACTGACTCTCTAACAGTTAGGACATTTTTCCTGGTCTCTAGCCTAAATCTGGTGTGCTGCAGTTTACGTTCATCATTCCATGCCTTACACTCTGGTATGAATGAGAAAAGATCTTGTCCTTTGAGGTACTTGTAGAGCACTATCACATCAACCCTCAGTCTTCTCCCCTTGCAGCTGAACATGTCCCTGCATATACTCACTTTTGTCTCACATCTTCAAGATTCATGCAATAATTGTCAATCTTGAGAAGAATCTGGTTGTTCTCTGCAGTTGTGCAGATAATCTGTGGAGGAAGTCGGGAAAGGAAATGTTTTGATCTCTTGCGCTCTAAAGAGCCAGCATGGATGTGCAGCAGAATGAGGTTGTGAAGTGGACTGCAAGTAACGAGGGATCCTAGCTTCTGAATGCTTCCTTATGTAAAAAATAACCTCCCTGCAAGGAAAGCTAACAACCCAAACCCATGAAATTTGGTGCGGGGGGAATCTAACTCACTCCCATTCTTGTTTGCTACCTGTTTCAATGCATGGAAGTACCGAAAGATGCGGTCCAATGTGAGTTCTGCATCTGAGAATGCTACCGCTTCATTCCTGTATCACGTTACTGTATGTGCAGACCAGGCAAAGTCAGGAAAAGAAACACATACATAATTCTGAGTACTTATGCCAAAGGCAGACTCACATAAATCAAAACAGAAGGTGTGGCTCTGATAGCAGTGGAACCGGAAGAGCCATCCAATGCCATGTTTGGTTTGGTTTACCTTAGCAAATGCATCACATCCCAAATGTTACAGGTTAGCAAACCTACTCTCCAGTTTTCCCCCATTAATTTTCACTCCACAATTCAGTCTTCCTCAGCTGAACCGAGTGGCATTTGGCTGCAATTCACCTTATTCCTTTCCCCTCTAGTGATCTCTTTCAGCCTGTTGCCCTGTTGGGCAATACCAATGGTGGTTTTCCTACTTCCATCTTGCAATCAAATAGCTACCTGCATAAAAGGTAGCTGTATGCTACCTGAATGCTGAGATGCATACAGCATGCACGGAAATGCTCAGTCAGAAACACAGCAGGTGCCTCTTTCCCTGGTATTTCATTGGTGGTGGGAATGTGACCTTTTGAATCTGTACCCTGGAAAAGAGCTGCCTAAAGGCACAAAGAGTCTGCTGAGAATGATCCAACGCAGTCATGCTTAGTTCCAGGTGCTCGCGAGGACCTAACCAGGGCCCCTTCTTCTCTTCAAGCTCCCTCTCACTTTTCTCCCACTTGATCTTACTAATCGTTGGTCTTCATCATCAGCACGCAGTCAACTGTCTAACCAGGTACAGGGAGAAATGCACACTTTCAAGCCAACTCACATCCTGAAACTCATTCACACATTCCAAATTGCACTTGTCCCATTTTTGCAATGACAATCTCCAATTCAAAAAGTGAGTAAAGCAATGCATATATTAGGAGAAAGTGAAAAAATTGTATAAAACTGAAAATAATGTCTCAAAATGCCTTCTGTTAGGAAAATCACATGCCACTGTGTATATTTGGCGAAACTGCATACATATATGCATGTAATAGGAGCAGTGCGTACCAAGGGATATAAATTTCCCTACAAAACTTTTAAAAACAAGAATTCTCAGAAGTTCAGGATTAAGTGAATTTAAGACCAGAACAATGAAGCACAGCAAGAAACCAAAACCCATCTTTATGTCTGACACCGTAGCACCAACTTCGAGAGGCAGAGCTCAACAACTCAATATTGACAATCAGTAAAGTTCCTTTATACATTTTCACAGCAACCGGGGGGAGATCAAATTGTCCACATGCCCCTCCCATGCAGCTTGGGGGCCATTTAACTGGCCCAACTGCATGCGAATCCATGGCCTGCATCATTCCCACAGAATCAGCACACACCTGACAGGTGGGCGGTCCCTCATCCATCACAACCTTTATTTGGAATTTTATAGGAGCTATCAGTGGTGCTGAACACCATCTCCAAAACAGGTTCACCACTATGGAGGACCATGGATAACTCAGAATAAAGGCTGTGATGGATAAAGAGCCCACTGACTGAAGAATCACCAGTCTCCCGCAAGCACATGTCACAGGACTGCCTTGAGACTCCATGGTCAAGGTTCATGGGCATCATGCCTGGACCGCACCATCAGCAGTCAGACCAATTTGCAACAAAGGAACAAGGGCCCTCCTTAGCCCAGAAATTTGTTTCCAGGGCCGCAAGTAAGTTCAGCGTTCCTTCACCTGCAAAGTGTTTCCCCCACAGCCAAATGTACACTGAAAGAACCTTTTTCCTTTGTGGCTATTGGGAGTCAGAAATTCTTGCCAATCTCAACAGATCACACAGAGATTTATCTATCTTCTGCCCACCTCTGCTGTACTTTGCCCCCTTACAGAGTTCTGGAAAAGATCACTAAAATCAGAGAGGCAGGAATGAAGTCCAAGCTTTGAAAGATGATGATGGTTTCCTCTTGGTTTTTGCATATTTTTAATATCCTTGCCCACAATGTAGGAACTACCAAACAGGCATTGGGAATGTTTGGAGAGCACTTGAGAGATGGTGACCCTACCTGGTCGTTAAGCTCCTGGATTTGGTGGTAATAGTGGTCGTAGTCCTTCGGTTCACCAGCAAGCCCTTCCTTGGCATAGAAATCACTGATGCTGGACTCAAGAGCAGCATTTTCCACCTCCAGCAATCGGACTTTGTCTATATAACTGGCCAGGCGGCCATTGAGGTTCTGCATGACCATCTTCCCATCAGAGGAAGCGAAGATGGTGCCATAGGCAACAGGGTCACCACCCATCCCACCAACGACAGCACTGCCAACTCCAACTGGCCCACCACCATGCACAAATGGAAGGAAAACACCACTGTTGCCACTGGGGTGGCTCCCTGTTCTCTTTCTCCTTCCAGAGCCACCACCACCAAACACGCCGCCACAACTGATACTTGAGAAGTTCCTCTGGCCAAAGCCGTAGCCATGAGTGGAGTTATGCCCCAAATGGCTTTGGCAGGAGAAATTGCCTCCCATGCCACCTAACCCATAAGAGGTATGATAGCTGGGTGGGAGAGAAGAAACCCCAGACTTCCCATTCGAACCCAGACTGGTGCTATTTCTTCCTGTGGTTACTGGAATAGAGCTAGCACTGGTATGCATAGTGGCGATGGATAAATATCCAAGGCAAAACTGAAAGCTCGACACTCGGCTAGAGTGTACGTCGATGATGTGCAGATCTTGTTTTATATCTTTTTGCGATGGGTGTCACAGCTGAGGAGGGAGGATTCAGCTCTTCTGGCGGGCTTAGTTCCAGTTTATTGTTTGTGTAAAAAACCCAGTGGCAATTTGCCTCTAGATACCCCAGTAAATAAGCAGTTTCTCCACAGACCATCTGTTCTTTTTTAACCATGTTGCCACGCCAGAAATTTTAAAGTTCCACAGAATCATCAAGACGTTCTGGTTTTGTTTGTCAGATGGAGAAATGAAATCCTTGCCCGGTTTATTGCTGACCTCAGTGTTTCCTTGGGCCTCGTAGGGCCAGATTAGCGCTTGAAGCAAATGAGAGTCCCTTTTTGTTTCCCTTGTTTTCTGAGATCTGACTTGCCTCGCCCAAGGCATTTGGCTGGACTGGGCTAGCTCAAGCCATAAAACTAGAAAAAAGGAAGTACTTCTTTAACAGCTTACAGTTAAAACTACGGAGTTTCCATCTACCACAGGATGTGATGGCCACCCAGGCCTCTTCTGGATTGGTAACTTGTTAAAATATGGGCCAAATTAATAGGCATAAGTGGACAATAAGTGGAAATGCTCTGCCTCCATGATTCCTGGCGTTATTCAGAGTCACTTTCCACTCCTACCACCTCCTATAACAGAGGGCATTTTGCGATTATTACATGAATAAGCACCTTAATTGTGCTGGCTCGTAAGGGAAAGACGAAGGAGCAAGCTTTTTCAATCAGATGGGGGAGAACCAGGAATGCATTTAGTGATGTGGGAGTATAATATTGTGCTCATTAAAAATACACAGAGAGCAACTCTTAAGATTTTCCTGCAATTCTTGTTTTGCACTCTTGAAAGGCAAATGTGGGATCCAAGTTTTGCCTTTCCCCACCAACTCCTCGTATTGTCCTGCATAACAACTCAAATGGCTCCTACAGGAACACATCCAGTTTCTTCCCAAATGCAAGTCAGCAAAGATTCAAAAATAGACTTTGAAATATCCTCTGGGCAAGAAGGCAGGTGCACACTTATTACTTTAATTGCTGCCTATGTAGAGCATTTGTTTTTAGAAAATGGAATCCTATTATTTAGCTGTTGATATCGCCAACAAATATTTCTGTACATCCCTCGGTGCCTATTGTTTCCATTTGTCCCATAAAAGCAACTGGCGGGCGGCGGGGGGGGGGTGCATTTATGAACCACCAAAAGAAAATAAAGACGCTATGAGCATAAGATTTCCATGTGCTAATTTAGAAGTACAGGTGCCAAAGCAGACATCATTATTGCAATTTAAATAGAAATGCATGGGAGACTGTCCAGGTAAGATGCGCTTTGCTCAGACTGTTGTCAAAGTGCTGTTGATGGCCAACCACAAGGCCCAGCCTTTCCATCTGATGGTTCTCTATCTTTGAGCTAAACTGGGACCAGACACCTCTTCAGAGGACACCGTCAAATCGAGGACTGTCCTCTGACAGCCGCTCATGTTGAAGTCTGCCCTCTGCAAAAGCAGTCACATGGCCACCCAAAAGCAAACCACCAGTGGAGTTCATGCATGGATTTCCTTCAGGCCTCTGTACATTTAAAGATGTACACACAGTTTATTGGTTCATTTTTCTGAAATGATTCTACACTGCCTTTCTTGGGTGGCTACTGTGGCAGGTCCTGGATTCAGAGTCCAACACACCTAGTCCACCTCTGGTCTAAGCCATAACAAGAGGGAGTAAAACAGAACATGATCCTATGCCCAAGAGGGGTGCTACTATTAGCCCAGGGTGATCTGTCCCTCTGGTCCTCCCATTGCTCTTCCTTTACTCACACATTCTTCTGGGGCTCCTGGGAATTTAGAATGGTGCAAAAAATCCTCCTAATGTCACAATCAGAAGATGTTCCACAGATTGTGTGAGATGCATACTTGGCTCTGCAGAGAGAAACTGTCTTTCCTTGGCGAGGCACAGGGGCTGGGTGCATGGCATCGGCAAGGGCGGGCTGGTCATGAGCACGTGATCAGATCTGTAGGATCCTCTGAAGCTCAAATACTGCTTTATCTGGATTTGTCACTGCAATCTCTGCCAAATATGTTTGCTGTGATTAGGGGAGGTAGAGCAAATATTCTGCATCAAGCAATTCCCCGTGTTGCATGGCAATCAGCCAAGCCCAGTTATGTGTTCCAGTCAAAGGCAGTAGCATTCCTAAAGTGATCTCCCACAATCTGAGTCTCCAGAAGTGTTGGATGCACAGACGTTGCAGAAAACCGCAAGAGATTCAAACGAGTTTGGATTCTTTAGCTCTGATCTGCAGATTCCACAGCAAGATTTGGAGGGCGCACTCAATTTTCTACTTCAGTGAGGGGGAGTTGTGCTAATTTGCATCAGTGTTATTATGCATTAGCTAATATGCATTAGCACTAATAGAAATTACTCCTAATGTGGATGAATGCAAGTAGAATGAAATTCTGGTTAAAAAGAAAAAAAGAATTTTCCTGTTACTGAGTAGATGATGGAATTAGAGATGTCCCATAATGTATGAAAAGCAAACAAAAAGGTTGCAATAAAATCCATACATCCATGGTCCAACCACAACTCCGATAACGCCCAGCTAGTATAACCATTGGGCATGAGTCCCATCCCGCATATTCGAATTTCCCCTAGCTGGAGAAGGCAGCATGTGATCATCTTTCCTAGCTGGTTCTGCACTAACTAAGCCTGTTCCTCCATAAACAAACAACAGATGTGATTGTTTTATTTAAGAGAGCTTGAAGAATCCACCCTGCTGGATTTTCCTCTACTGAGGGTGCGATCTTGTGTGCTTGGGCAGCAAAACAGTCCTTCCCCTTCCAGCATGAGGCACCAGATGCAGGGTTTTGTCCTGAGCATATCAGCTAGTCTGCAATATGAATGCATTTATCCTACTGTTTTCCCTCTGCTCTAAGGAGGCACAGCAGCCTCGCCTTCCTGCTATAAAACCTCCAGGCAGGATTTTTTTAAAGGGTGAGTGTGAGTGTGAGGGGTGGAGAGAAGTTCTTCAGATGAATCTGGGACTGGAATTTGTAAACATTGTATAGTTTACAACCACCTGCGTACAGGCCCATTAGATCAGGTGGAACTGAAGCAGACTGGGTGTGAGAAGAGGCTCTTAAAGGGACACTTAATTGGAACTTTCGGGAGATCACTTCTCAAGATACTGTTTAATGGAAGCTGACAAGATGTTTCTTTAATTACTGTGGAGAGTTGGTTCATAAGGAAGCAATTACCATGTGCCAGGGCAAAAGTGTTCCCAGACTATTGTTGTAGATCACTCATAAGCACCTTTAATCAACAGAGCCCCTGTTTTTTGCAAAATTAGAAAGCCAGCAGAGGCCTAAAGCCCTCAGGTTGTTGGAAGGCTTAACAACATGAAAAGGGTGCAATCATATACATGTTGAGGCGGAAAGGAGTCCTACAACCTGAGGCATGCTGGGACTTGCAAGTGGCTAAGGAATGCTGGGAGTTGTAAGACATTTTCTATCTTAATATATATAGAATTGCACACTAACTTAAGTCCCATTCATTTTAATAACTTTACTTGAAGTTGGAGTAACACTGGAAAAGTCACTTCACTCACAGGGCCCATGTCCATCACGATTCGCTTGAATCCCCATTGATTTCAGTGGATCGACTAGGTATGACTAAACCGGAAACCAACCCGTTGTATGCTGGCATGATTTCCAATCAACCTACAAAGCTACAACCTTTATGCTTGCATAAAAAAAGCTACACTTTATATTGCTTGAAGGAACACTTGCATTAGTCTAGAGGTGCTTTAGAGTTAGAATATGAACATCATTAATATGGTTTATCGCCTCTGTTTGCAGTCTCTGACTTGGTGGTCAACTTTATTTATACAATGCTTTTAACATTCTAACATGAGAAAATAGTTTGCATACACAGGTCTTGGTGGCACTGAAAGAAAAGCAGAGATTTATTTTTCGATGTCTCCTTTTTTTTATTTTTTTTCCTCCCAGTGGTTGGCAGATTGCCAACCACGGCACTTATGCATGCTGGGTAAGAAACGGGGGCTGGACCAACACTACATTGCAGACAAGTGAGGAAGACTCTGTAGCATGAAAGACCGTGGATCAAGCCCTCTGATTTCCTTGGAAAGAAAACAATGGACAGCTAGAACTGCAGCGGCTTGGATGGGCTGCTAGGAAGGCTTCTCTGGGCAGTGGGCATGGAGTGCTTTCCATCTATTCTGCAGTGCTCTGAAGACAAAGAAAACCAGCAAGGTTTAATTACTATTGCTATGGCATCATCTCACCCCAAACCATGTTACCCTCTTTTCCACCTATTATATGCAGAAGGGCTATTGTGCTTTTTGCTACTGATTAGTCGACTGAAAGAACATCATGCAGACATTCAGATATACCAGTGTCAGTGCATCTGTGATGGGAGGTGAACCAGCCAGGCCCTCTCTAATGGCTTGGCTGAAAGAGCAGTTGCTTTTTGGCTCCACCCAGCCCTCAATTGTCATCTTTTCATTGCCATTCCAGAAGGCTGCAGCAGAGCGAGAAACGGAACGGCAAGGCCTTCACCATCAGCTGAGAGGCCAGCAAGCTTTTTGGCTCCCTGCACTGTTTCCATTCTAGCTGGTTGTTAGTTCTTTATTTATGAGAACATTTAGAAAGAACTACTAGGTAACTTTAAGAACTGGCACCTATAATTTGCTTGATTTCCTCTTCCATCCCCATACTTAATTTCATTTGCGTCAAATCAGTTTGGGTATAAATCTTAGGACAGTAATCTTATGATTTTTAAACATGTGCACTGTTTAGTACATTTCAGGTGCTTTACAAAAGGTTGTATCAGGAGGAGGAGAAGGAGGAGAAGGGTCAGATGCCCTCACACATATCTTTCTTCTATTCTTATAACCTTTTCAGTTTTATTTCAGAGGTCATCCTGCTGTCCCTACACCCCGCTTTTGTTATCACAGGTGGAAGGGAAGTGAGGGGTAGGGGGGAAAGCATTCCTCACCTCATGCCCTTCCTTCTAGCCATCTAGTGGTGCAAGTGGCCCTCATGGCACGGATGACCCATGGAATGGGTCACGTAAGTATGGGAAGTCCGAGTGTCACCAGATCTTCGCCCAGAGGCACTGCTGGCTCTGGCAGCTCCTCCTCCTCCTCTGCAGGAAAAGAAGAGTCCAGCTCAATAAGGCCACAAGTCTTTCCTCCAGCAGAAAAGGGATTAGGGCCAGACAAAAATGAACAATGTGCAAAATAACTCAATGGAAAGAAGAGTCTGAAGGTAGCCTAGTGTCCTTTCAGCCCTGAGCTATACATTTTGGACCTTCTTTAGGGATTAACAAAGGGGCTAACCCCCTTCTTTAGGGGTTACAATAGGAGTTAATCAGGAGACATTTCCAATATAATTCTGATGACACAATTTATCTTGGAGACCTATCTTATTAGAGATCTTTGCAGAGTAATTTTTAAAAGATTTTAATCCCTGAAAATCTCCCAAAATATAGAGTCAGGTTCCAAAACACACCAGGCTACTTCAAGAAATGAAGCAACATATTTTTTTACATCTTGAAACTTGATCTTTTTTTCCTTTGGGTACTAATTATTCCTGGAAAATTACATTAAGCAGCATTCCAGCTCAGCATGGCGGTTGTCAGCTGTTTCCCCATCTATCTTGCCCATGGCATCATTCACCGAGGTAGATTATGGGGGTAGGAAGATTGTACTTGCCAACCCTGGCTGGAAGAGAACAGGGCAAATCCACACGGAACCATAGAGCAGTAGAGCTGGGCAGGGCCAGAGGGCCACCAGCTCCAACCTCCTGCTCAGCGCAGGGCCCCAAGTTAAACCATCCCTCTCAGACGGCTGTCCAGCTGCATCTCGAATGCCTTCCACATGGGAAAGGCAAAGCTCGCACCATCCCTAGGTCACTGGTCCCATTGTCATACTGCTCTAACAGTCAGCAAGTTCCTCCTGATTTCTAGCTGCAATCTGGCTTCCTGTAACTTGAGCCCATTATTTCATGGGATGACACATGGTATAGTCCTGTCCCTGAAACTAAAAGGATTTGGGCCTTCAGGTTGCCTAGATGAGAAGCTGCCTGGGAACGCAGACAGCTCAGATGCCACTCTGAGCTTGTCAGTAGAAGGGCAGATAAAGCTAGATAAACAAAATCCTACTGTAGTGTCTGAAAAGCAGGCTCAAGAAGGGACATATTTGTGTCCTTAAATGAACTGTGAAGCATATGGACTTCACTTCAGACATCTACACTCCATGACTAGGATACCAGACACATCTGCTTATCACAGATGCTAGCAACTGTGTTGGAATTGCCCCAGGGCCTTGGATGGAGGCTGGTCGTGTCCATGCCACCGTTTTTGGTAACGTCAGTGGAGGCTCCAGCTTCAGAGGGCTCCTGTATCCACTGCATTTTTTGGTCTGAACCTCGAAGGAGCAATCCAGGGTCAAATCCTATGCCCAAGCCAGGTTCAGCCTCATGGATAGCTCCTTAAAGTTCAGGTGTGGATATACCACCCCACTGACCCTCAAACCATTGCCCTCCACAGGCTTAAGTTAGACTAGGCAACCTGGTGGATTAACTCAAGCCATTGCTTAGAGCAGCCTTCCCCAACCCAGTGCCCTCCAGATGTTGGGCTATAACACCCATCTTTCCCAGCCAACCACACCTACTGCCCATGCTGGTTGGAGAGGATGGTAACTGTGGATCAGCACATCTGGTGCACACATTCGGCTTAAGAGGTCCACTTCATGGAGAAGAGCAGTTGTTTGCACAAGAAGCAAAAGGAAACATGTGAATCGATTGCTGTTATTGTTTCCAGTTACCTTTGGCAATACTTTTCTTGTTTGCTTCTTCACCAGGAACATGAATAAGTGCAGGGTGGTTAAGAGGTGGTCTTTTTGCACTCCACTTTTGGCCTTTGTTGTCCTTCTTACCCGAGATTCAGGCAGAGTCACACAGTGCCACTGGAGGGGACATGGCCAAAGAGGAGGCGGTTTCCAGAATATGAGTGATGGATATGCAACCAAAGTGTGCACCCCTTCTCAGGCAGGCAGCAAAGACACCACACCTCAATCAGGTTGCAAGCATCAAAGAACAGTGCTTACAACACCACCCAGTACGTATCTATGAAAAGTCAGAGCTGCCGAGTTCAGGGGGACTCAATCCAAGTGTGCAATGGACTATTTCGAAGTGCACACATTCTTCCTTGACAGTTCCCATAGCCAGGTCCCCAGGGAAAATCCAAAAGTGAAGGCAGCTGTGTCGATCCAATTCAACCAACTAGCTCTATCATTTTTGTCTCCACCCGCAGCGGGTCCTGGATAAAAACAATGGCCCTTATCTGCCCATTCAAGACCAGCCACCAGGGAACACTGAATATTGCAACGAAAGCAATACCTTGTCCCTGGAAAAAGGAGTCCCTCCCCTCCATCAGCTACTGGGAGAATTGCAGCTAAGCTTACAGGGAACAGGGCCTTAGAGGCTGGCGGATCACATTGGTGTCATTCCTAACAAAAACGTACCAGTGCCGTGTCCCTGAGTAGCCTTGGCTCCATTACAGCACTGCTTGTTCCAAGAAAAGTGGGTATAAGATTGCAGCCGTAATCACTGTGTTCAGTGCTTGGTCTGCCGCCAGGGGACTCAAAGCCGCACTTTTACCTTCACGAACAACAGGCAGGTGGGTCCAGCTTCCGAGGAACGCCTTGCCCAGAATACCCAGGCTGTTTCCCAGCTGAGCCAGCATGTCTGTGTCATGCTTCTTAGGTCCCCAAACCCCAATAACATCACTCAGTATCTACATGCAAGTTGCAAGTATTCCAAGCTCCTCCTGTTCATTATCTCATTATTCTTAATGCAGACCTGTAGGGCAGGGCAGTGTTATCATATACATGTTGCAAATGGAGAAAGTCATTGTTTTCCTAAGGCCAGCTGTGTGGTCGCCCTGTTCCCTGGTTCCCTCCACCCATTTCAAGAGCACGACACACCAGCCTTCGTGCACAAAAATGTCTCGTGTGCTGAGATTTGGAAGCTACGTCGATCGGTGCTGGCACCTGGCTCCTGGAGGGCCCTTGGGCCAGGAAACTGCCCTGGGCAGTTTGCCTTCTCGGCACCATGGGCACCCCCTGCTGTTGCTTTCCCTCTGCTTTCTCATCCAGACTACCACTGCATGGATTGACAGGAAGGCAGCAAGAACAAGGAGGCCACAGCATCCTCTGCTCCTCCTCCTCACCACCCCCACCATGGTCTGGGCCAGAGCGAGAGGCGAGGGACCCATGGGATGCAATGGAGAAGAGCGGGAGCAGCTCCAGGGTGCTGGGCTTGGAGAGCCCCTGCAGGGCTGAGAGCACCCAAGAGGCTCCCCACCCTGCCTGCTCCTGATGCCCATCCTGCCTGCAGCCGGCAGGGCAGTCCTCTCATTCTGGCTTCGTTGTCCCTCCTGCCTGGGGTCCAGCAGAGCCCCACTCTCCCTGCATGCTACTTACATGATGTCGTGCTGCCCCCCCTCCAGCAAGCCGCGGTACGTGGCGATCTCCTGCTCCAGGCGGCTTTTGACATTGAGGAGTTCGGTGTAGTCGCGGTTCTGGCACTCCATCTCCGCCCGCAGCTCAGCCAGCTGCTGCTCCAAGCACGAGATGCGCTCCTGGAGCTCGGCCAAGTGCTTGTTGTAGCGCTGCTCCGTCTCGCCCAGAGAGCCCTCCAGGGTGTCCCTCTGAGGAATGAGGCAAGAGGCAGTTCCTCTCGGTTAGGTTTCACTGGGCCTCGTGCAAGACTGAGGTCTCAGCAAAAACGCAAAATGCTTCAGCAGCAACACGTTCTACCATCAGAATATTTACTAAGTGTTTCCATGGAATCTCAGCTTAGGGAAAAAATGCTTCAGATTGTCAGGGGAAATCCATGAAGTGGGTGCAGACATGGCGTTTCCATCCTAAGGTTGCAATCCTGGACACACTTACCTTGGAGTAAGTCCCATTATATTCTGTGACTGACTTCTGAACAGAGCAGTGCATCCATTGAATTGCACCATACCCATTTGTTTGTCTGATTGTTTTACATTTCTGGCTGTTTTGATACAATACATTACTGACCAGTGTGAACACACCTGTGGTCAAATGATATGTTAGTATATTTTCCCTCTTTGACAGTGCTATCCTTTCCTTAAAGCATATATGCCTGAAAAGTAGGGCAAGCTACAGCTTCTCAAAGTAATTAAAGAGCAAACCTGTTTCCACACATAGGAAGAAGTACAGGTAAACATTTTGAACCGTTCTTTGGGGATCTTTCCTCATTCTAAGCCATGCCAGAGCATTTTTCAAGTGCTGTCAAGGGATTTGCATACACGAATTCAGGATGCTATCAAAATGAGGTGAGAATATTCTGGCTATAATATAACCACACCACCACCACCTACAAACTGGATTCAAACAACCAGCCATCTCAACAAGTGGGTTGTTGTTGAAATGTAGGTTATCATATTGTTTGAGCCCAGCTTCACTAACATGCCATGGCTTGTTAACCACAAAGAACCATGAAGAGAACCCATGGTTTGTTGCTGAGTTGTGAACTGCAGGTTGTTCACCATGGTTGAATACCAAATCCAGTAATAAAGTTATCCGAACCCAGTGCTCTACCCAAAGCATATATAAACCTCCCCAGATACCCATGGCTTCTGGTAGGGTTTAACAAACTCACCATAGCTTACTGTGCTATCTGATCCTAGACAATAAATTAAGCCATGGTCAAGTCCAGAAACCAGAGAGCCCCTTGGCAAGAGCAGCAGAAAGTCTTGCCTCTCTAGCCAGGAGCTAGCAGGCAATTGTCTTTCCCAGGCTTCTCAGAATGCTAAAGCAGCACTTGGGAACAGCTAGGAAAGGCTTCCCCCATCCCTGCTAGCAGTGGAGGGGAAAGAGGCCAATGCAAAACTTGGACAAAGCCCCGTGCAGGAATGCAGGCCTGTTCCTTTGGACCACAAACCTCACATACCTGCCCACGGGGGTTTCCCGCAGGTTTGGCCACCTCCCATGGTGCCATCCACTTATGTCGACTGCAAAACTTAAGATGCTCTTGTGCCTCTGTGGGACCCACACTTAGGATAGTGAGGGTAGCCCAGGGTCACATGAGCATGCCCGAAAAACCCAATCATTCTGCTGCAAAGGGTGCTTCCCCCACACACACCCCTTTAAAACTTTGTTTAAAATGGTTAGCAGTTCCCAGGAGCTAGGTTTTCCCCTTCTTTGTTTCAAACAACAGTCTCTTTGCAAATAGTGCTTTATTTCCAACTCACAGCTGACCGACTAGAGCCACTAAAAGGTGAGTCTCTGCATGAACAAAGGGTTTCGTTGAACCCAAACTAGAAACTAAAAACCCTCCTTTTCAGTAACCTGGGCTCCAGTCCTCAGCCGAAGAGTCAGTGCAACCCTGATCCTGGCACGGACGCCAAGAATAGCTGCTTTTTTCATTCCCAACAGCAGTGGGCTACGAAGTTGCAGTTCGGCATGCCCTCTCTGTCCATGCAGACACCTGTCCAAGCTAAATTGCAACTTTGCAACCCACTGCTGACCATTTTCTCAGAAGTTTTTAAAAAGGTGGGGTGCGTGGAGAGTACCCTTTGCCACCAAAGCCCTGGGGGTTGGGGGCTTGCTCATGGAGCCTCAGTTGCCCTCAGTTTCCCAAGCGCAGGTAACACAGGGGGATTGTAGTAAAAGGCACTAAATGGCTCAGAGGACATCTCGGTGCTCTTGCAGCTTCTCCTGGGATACTGCAGGAGGACTGGGAGGGAGGGCGGGAGTGAGAAGAGGCAGCACAGAACCCCTGTTGACCACAGCACTTGGTTGCAATCCCCAAGTGGTCTAACGTATTGAGCAACCCCAGTCATTGGCTTGCTGCTGTTCAGGGATGGCTTGGAGCAAAGGAGCCACACGAGCCTGGCAAAGGCTTGTGTATGTTCACTGGACAAGACATTTTGCAGCCCGCAGCACTGTGTCCCTCCACCCTCCTGTGCGGGTCCCCAGTGATGCAAACACTTTGGCATCCTCTTTTACCAGGCTGCACTGGGCCTCGAAGTCAATCTCCAGGGTTTGCAGTTGGCGTCTCAGCTCTGTGACCTTGTTGTTGCTCTCTTCGATCTCCTGGCTGCTGGTGCAGACATCACGATTCACCTCTTCCATCTGTAATACATAAGGGTAGGGAAGGGCCACTGCTCCACTTTGCGTGCAAAATGTCCCCAGAGTCGGTCCCCAGCAGCTCCAAGGGAGGTCTGGGAAAGACTCTCCCTGAGAACCTGGAGAACAACTACAGGTCTCCATAGACTAAGCTGGATGGACATGTAGCCTGACTCTGAGCCAGGTAGCTTCCTAGGTCCTTGATACAGAACCATGAATACAGAACCATGCTGCGGGAAAAGAAACCCTAAGAGAGGCTATGATGCTGTGTTTGCAGGAGCAAAAATGTCCAGGGCCACTGCACACCTGCAGAGGCAATGCCCTAAACAGTGGTTCTGTGATACATTTTGAGGTGCAGGTAGCTGTCTTGATGGTCCCCCATGGCCATGTTCAAAGAAGAGTCCAAAAATGTTGGAGGCCATGCTGGACACTACTGACAAATCACTCCTGGCATTTTTCATCTCCCTCAGAGGCAGCTCTTTTGCAAAGATAATGGCCACAGTCTCCCATCCCAGGCCAAGCTAGCTGGGAAAAGTCTTGCAGGGTAAAGAACTGGAGTGCATATGTGTAGAATGTTTTTCTCTCATTGCTAGGTAATTAAGCAAGCAGCCTCCACATTCCTTGAAGTAGGAGTGAATGGTTTCCAGATGAGAAGGTGGGGCTCCCAAGGCTGCTTAAAACATATGATATTAGATACTCTTTGTACCGATCACACCTGGATTTTTTAGTTGTTTCCAGTCCACTGTAACCTCATTGTTTTGTTTATCATGGATTTAGAGGGGAATAGCTTACCTTGGATTCATACCAGGCTTCCACCTCCCTGCGGTTGCCTTCAATCATTGCCTCGTACTTGCACCTCATCTCTTCCAGGATCTTCTTCAGGTCTGGCCCAGGGGAGGCATTGACTTCCACGTTGACATCGCCAGTGGACTGGCTCTTCAGGCAGGTGACCTCCTGCAGAAACAGCACAAACCACAATGAATGGAGCAGCGTGCTCGCCCACTGGTCTCTCCTTTCCCACGTTATTCATCCATCCTACCCCACACGAACTCTCCAACGGCTGAGCTGGAGACTCTAAGTGGCAAATGGGTCTCACTTTGTAGGCAAGCACCACTGCCTGGCATTGCTGTTCCGGGTTGTGCCACTCCAAAAAGCATGCACCTAAATGTTCCCCAGTGTTTGCTGGGAATGATGGGGGTTGTGGTGCAACACATCTGAGGACACCGGGTTAGAGGAGAATGTCTCAGACATAATAACATGCATCATTAACACCCACAAGTGCTATTCTCAGGCTTACAGCTGAGAATCCAGAAAGCATGTTCCCCTTAGCTCTCATAAAGCACAATGATGATGATATCTTTCACCTCCTTGTGGTTCTTCTTCAGGCCACACAGCTCGTCCTGCAGGTTCTCGCACTGAACCTCCAGGTTGGCCCTGCAGGCTGTCAGCTGATCCAGAATGTGATGCAGGCCGTTGATGTCAGCTTCCACATTCTGGCGAAGGCAGCATTCCGTCTCAAACCTGAGTCAGAAAGAGCAGTGTTGGAAGACCGGTTGCCCACGCAGTCGTAACACTGGGTCCACCTCAAAGGCAGGCAGCAGTCCTTCTCATGTTTCAGCCTAGCAGTTCAGCCTGGCTTCCTTAGGCTTTTAAGCAGACAGGCTTCCCCAGCTTGGGCTAGAAGCATCCCCTGCCTGCTAGCAGATACTACAGAGCAGCGTGCAGTAATAAATTCTGAAGGGCAAGCGCTCACTGTGACAGCCCCCACAGCTGTGGCCCCAAGAAGAGTCCAAAAATGCGCCCTGCTGCATGGCTCCGTATGAACACACCAGTTCTAGCAGTGATTGTCTCCATCATGATCCTCTCTTTTGCAAAGCAAGTGGGTTTTAATTGCCCAAAGCATCCCAAAACAGTTTGCACTTCTACAGGGATCAAGGAGAGCCAGTGTGGTGTCGTGGTTAAGAGCATGGGACGGGGACTCAGACGATCTGGGTTCTAGTCCCCGCTCAGCCATGGAGCCAACTGGGTGACTTTGGGCCAGTCAGACTCAGCCCAACCTACCTCACAGGGTTGTTGTTGTGAGGATAAGATGGAGGAGGAGATGTAAGCTGCCTTGAGCCCTTTGTAGGAAAAGGCAGGATATATATATATATATATATATATATATATATATAGAGAGAGAGAGAGAGAGAGAGAGAGAGAGAGAGAGAGTTAGTTAGTTAGTTGCTGGGAAAATATATTTCCTCCCAGCTATTTTGAGGATTACTGTTCAGCTCAAAAGAAGCAGGCAATTCTGGGGTGGAAGGGTGGCAGATACCATACCCATCCCTGCTAATTAAAAAGTGCAGGTACTACATCCCTGTGATCCCTGGCGCTATTACACCACTGCTGCAAAGTGTTGAAAAAGGAGATGGGGAGATATCCAACAAACAACATGCTCTCTCGTTCTTGGCCAGTTCCCATATTGGCCTTGGCTTTGCTGCCACATTCCAGATATTCTGGCTCACAATCTTCTTCCTGCGCTCTGTAGGATGGGTGGCCTTTATTCTGCACAGCCCCACATATCCCCACAGAATGGACACCTCCAGGCCTGAAAGGACAGACACCCTCCTTTCCATGCAGCCCCATAACAGACAGGTTGAGCCTCATAGAGTCCACCAAGAATGCCCCCCACCCCCTGCCGCCAGCAATGGGACCTAATGGAATGAACCCCTTCGCTTCATTGCTGCTTTCTGAAAAGTACTCACTTGGTTCTGAAGTCATCCGCAGTCAGCTTGCTGTTATCAATGCACAGAAGGAGTTTGTTGTTCTCCACACCGGTACAAATGAGCTGGATAAAGACGAGGTTAAGAGAGGCCAGTTAGGACCCTGCTCTCTTTTCCCGTACATGTGAAGATCTCACATTAAGATTTTAGGCTGCTTCCTTTCATATTGGGCATTTAGCAATCTAATGCTAGCTTCATGCCAACGTTTAAGCCATGTGTACAATCCATTACAGTTCTGTATCAATGTACAGCTGAACCACAAAATAGCCCTCACGCTCACTGGTGGGAAAAAAATCACTACGGCCAGGATATCTTCCGGAGTTGACAGGAAGGGGTTCACCAATACAATCCCTTCCACCATTTTGGAGTTCCAAGCACCAGACAACTCTTTCTTCTACTTCCCCTTGGGCTGATTCACAGAAAACTGCCCCATCATGTGGAGGGGATTCAAATTCATCCCTATGTTGGCTATTTCCGAGCTGCAAGTAGTGCGTGTATAACAGTTCCCTACGTGCAGTGTTAGTGCGCTATCTGAGCTCCCACAGATGACCAGAACTGTGCATCAGTCACAGTCCTGAGATGACATGAGCTTCACAGGAACTCTAGAGTGCGACTCCAATAGAAAATAAAATTAATGTTCCAGACATACCTCTGGATTAAAAGAAATGCATTATTAAATGCAATGTTTGTCTTGTCTACCTCACAACCAACATCTATACAAACATTATATTATCTCCAAAAATGAGGAGGAGGAGGAGGAAAAGGAACAGGAACAGGAGGAGGAGGAGATGAAGAAAATATGTTTTAGGGGATCAAGCAATATTCTTGGGCTATTCCCATACTGGCCTTGGCTTTGCTGCCACATTCCAGATATTCCAAATCACAATCTTCTTTGTGTACAACAGGTTGGGAATCCAAAAGCAAATTTAAAGGCATTTCAATAGTTCATATTTTCTGAGGCATTATCATGGTGGCAAATTGGTTTCACTCATTTGTCACCTAAGGCATTTAAAACACTGATGTTGTTTGTTTAAGTCAACTGGAAGAACCCGTTGTTTGCAATAGACACAAGAAAAGGCATGTAAAACTCATGAAAAATGGGTTGAAAATTGACATCCTACCTGGTTTTTAAGATCTTCAATTTTTTGGTGGTAATGGGTATAGTCCTTTGGTTCACAAAGAGGGCCTTGCTTGGCATAAAAGTCCCTAATTCGGCATTCAAGCTCAGCATTTTCCTCCTCCAGGCATCGGACCTTGTCCAGGTAGCTGGCCAGGCGATCATTGAGGTTCTGCATTGTCATTTTCCCATCAAAGTTGCCTCCACAGACATGCTCACCTCCCAGGCCACCAATCAATGCAGGGCCACGGACCACACCACCCATGCCACCTACCATGCCAGCAGGGACACCCCCAACAACAGTATGCGGGCCACCTAACATTCCTGCGGGGGCACCTCCAACTACACCACCCATGCCACCTACCATGCCAGCAGGGACACCCCCAACAACAGTATGAGGACCACCTACCATTTCTGCAGGGACACCCCCAACTACACCACAATGGCCTCCTACCATACCAGCAGGAACACCACCCACCACACCGCCCATGCCTCCTACCATACCAGCAGGAACACCACCTACCACACCACAAGGACCACCTACCATACCAGCAGGAACACCACCTGCTACACCACCAGGCATGCCACAAACCATACCTACATGACCACCACCAACACTACCGACATGGGAGCCAGCACCAAAGCCACCGCTTCCTCCTATGTGTCCACCACCAACAAACGCCCCACTGCAGCTGCCAGTTGAAAAATGGCTTCTTCCTCCTCCACCAACATGGCTCCAGCTGGAGAAGTTCGTTCTCCCATTGTTCATCCCACAAGAAGGATGCTGTCCAGAGGAGACCGAGGCCACCCCCACCCTTCCTCCACCAAGATTGCAGCTGCCACCAGAGGTTCTCCCAGCTGTTAGGACCGTGTGCCTTGGACCACAACTCATGGTGATGGTGATGGAGGATCTCCTAATGCTAAGCAGAGAGCTAGAGGCACCACTTGACACAAAGGAAGACTGCTGGGATCTACTCCCCACCAGTCTCTATTTATACTTTCTGCAGAGGGTGTCACCTTTCTCGTTTCCCCTCTTTCTTCAACACTCACAGCAGTGGTTGCTGTAATTATTACTGTCATTCCCCAAAGGCAGGGATTCAAAGGAGATGCAACCCATGTCAGCAGCTCCTTGGGGGAAAAAAAAAAAAAGCAGGAGCATTTTGTGGTGTTATTTGTGATGTACACTTGGCAACAAACATGGGTACTGCAGTGAATAATAGTTCCTTTTGCCCACAGGAGGAAACATAGCTTTCTTGGGCAGCCTCATTTTGTCCTGCAGCTAAAATGCAATCACACGTAACATCTAAGGGTGGGGACAAAACTCATTCCTAACTAAGCCAAAACTACTCACTCACTGCTTTTTCTCACTGGATCAAAAATGCCTCTTTTTATTGAGTTCTGTGACACTTCTTTAGAAATGCTTGTGTGACTGTCTCACCATTCAGTGGTGTATTGAAGTCACCAACGTTGATTGACTTTGCACTATTATGAAGCCATTCTATGATCCCCAATTGACAGGGATCGTGGATAAGACCCATCCTGGAAGTGTTGCCTTCAGCTTCAATTTCCCTCATTTGCCCTCAGTGACATTATCATATAGCCAGATCTGATTGGCTATCTAGCATCTTAACGTAATCTCCTTCATTGCACTGCTTGTGTTTTGCTCACTCTTGTGATTAATGCAAGAAAGAAACAGAAATGGAGAACGGTGGATGGGATGGGAGATATCATGAAACTGACAGTAGCTGAAGAGAAATAATGCTATTGAACAGGATTGAAAGGGGTTAATATTTGCACCTTCCTATTTTTCACTCCAAGATCCAAACTTAAGGATATTCAGCACAGCTCTACTGAAATTTAAAACATAGTAGATTTCAGAAACTAAAATGTCATGCTTCCCCATTCAATATTTAGTTCAAAATGATTCCAAAATTATGTAAATGTTTCACGCTGGAGCTGAACATACATTCCAGTTTTGCATATCAAAACTTTAATAAAATTAAAGTGTTGCATGAGAGATAACATAGATAGGGTTGGTTAGTTATCTCTCAGTTGTTTTAATCTTGGCAGACATCCAACATAAAATCTTATGAGCTGCCCATTATCAAATACCAAACAGCATTTCACACCAGCAACAAATATTGTTATGTATTAACTGATAAATGGCACAGATAGAAGTCCAAAGAGCATTGTGTGTCAAATACATAGATCAAAGACTTGGCAGATAATCAGCACATATTCAAAAGTTCAGTGTATATCCATTGCATATTGAGCATCATGCCAAAGAAGAAAACCAATTTGAGGGTCAAATTTGTTTCTGCTCTAATGTAGAAACAGAGTCAGAAAATCCACTCAGAATTAAGAATCCAGTCACCGGAATTTGGGCTTTTCTCTCCTTATCTTTTCAGTGTGAACGGCTCTCTCTATTTTGGAGCCTTGTTCCTCAATGGTCTTTTTCCTTCTCTGCCCTATTTTAATGTTCCCTTTGCTGCTCTAGAATTGCACATTTATTGCACGGCTGCCATTATCACCACCAGAAAATGTCCATAGAAAGCCTTTAGAAGTCCTCAGAAAATACAGACAATGTATTTCATGCACTCTCCATGTGAAGGGCTTTCTGTAGACTGGGCACCACCTCCATTTACTTGAAAGCAGTAACAGCTCATCCTTCTCCTAACTCCTACTCTTTTTGGATATCTTTTGGAGATTACATGAGTGGAGTCAGCTGGAGCCAGGGATCAGATGAGCTGGCCTGGGAGAATCTTTCCAACTTGCTATGATTCTATGTTTCTGTCTAATATTAAAGTTCCATTTTGTCATTATTGTCCCTGAAGGAAAGGAGTGGTACTGGTGCCAGCTTTCCAAGGGTCACTCGCTCTTTGCATCTACCTTCTCATGCCCAGGTCACCAGTTGTTCCTGTTGCTCCTCTCGCTCACTGTTTCACCAGAGGCTCACGTGACAGGCGGGGAGCCAGGGTGCAAGGGGGCCGTGGCACCAGCTGCACTTCCTTCTCAGTTCCGCCTTTGTCTGGCCCAGCACGAGGCAGTGAGCAAGCAGTGGCAATGCAGAGGAAGGACATCACGGGGGTCCTGCCGCTGTGACCTCGGCAGGAGCCCAAGCAAGCCTTGACACCGCCCCTGGACAGGATCAACAGCCAGGCTGACAATGTGGCCATGTCATGCCTGGACTGCCACAAGCTAACCTTTTGTAAATACCACAGTACCCCACACAATCTCTGCTCAGCAGACAGACTGAGGCAGGAAGAGACAAAGGTACATGCAAGAGCAGCCTCATGAATGGACTACGTAAATGAAATCAGCCATGTACTTCAGTGATGTTAAACTGGGGACAATCAGAAACCCAAAGGTTCATTAGCCAGTCTGACAGGGAGGGAAATCATTTCCCAGCCAGTGTAGGCCATGGATGTCTTCTCTTTTGTTTGCAAAACCTCCATCTTGTCAGCTGAGCAGAGAAGATGGACCAAGTCAGATGTGGAGCATGAAGCAAAACCTTCTCAGTTCGAGGTACAAGCACATCCTGACTAGATCTGACTCAAGACTGGGTAAATCTTTGAAATCTGCCAAAATTCCAGGTCCACCATTTCAAGCTGAATGTGAACTTTCACCACAGAATTCAAAATTTAAGTCCTTTAGATATATCAGCATCTTTTAAATGTATTGGCCTTGATAAGCAACAAGTATAAAATCAGAGAGGCTCTCAGCTGAGAAATGTGAGATGTTCAGCTTAGACACTAACTGAAATTTCACTTCATCAGCACGGCCAGTTAGTAAATACTGCATGTCAGTTGCCAAACGTTGTAAAAATTTAACTGTCAAATATCAAATACTGACATTGAGTACAGAATCCAAGTATCAAATAATTGGATAAAAAATCACCAGGTTTCTGTAAAATACAGATAGCAAATTATTGGTGAATTTTGAGCAATCTGGTATTATTGCAATGTAATATTCCAGCAGATATTTTTCTGAGAATTTTGGGAATTTCAGATCTTCCCAATGGTCGCAGCAGTATCTGATGCCCTCCCAAAGGCAGAAACACATTTTGAATGAAAGCAGATCATTTCCCATTTTATTCCCAGGCATCGGCTTCATCGTGTTGGTTTTTCACATGCAGTACATTCACCTCTCCTCATATCTACCTTTTCTTACTCGTCAACTTAATTCACCAGCCAACTTTTTCATAATAGCATTGCATATGTAGGGTGTGGCCTGTCCAGCAATGCCTGACTCTCATATGTGTTTCTTACTAGTTTTCTTGGTTTAGGGAAAGCTAATTACTCGTGATTACAATCTTGTTCTCCCTACTGTCATTACTTTGCACAAAGTTGTTGCTGCTTATATGTTTTTTCAGTCCTCTCTAGTACTGATAAAAGCTGGAACATAACAAAGCTTCTCTTACCTTCCCGGCCCCTAAGATCATCTTCTGGGGTCTGTCTCCAGGAGCATCCTCCAAAGGAAGTAAAGAAAGTGGCAACCAGGAGAAGGGCCTTTTTGGTTGTGGCATCCCAGTTCTGGAATGAGTTCCCTAAATAGGTCCACCTGGCACCTATTCTCTACTCCTTTCAGTGCCAGGTGAAAACCTTTTGTTTTGCTCAATATTTTAACACAGTTAACTGTTAGTTTTTATACTGCATTTTTTACTACCATTATATCTGTGTACTGACTTGTTTGCAACTGCTGATTCTATTGTTTTATATGTTAATCTCTTCATTATATGTTCCAAACTTTTGTAAACCACCCAGAGGGCCTTGGTCTATTGGGTTGTATAAAAATGTAATAAATAACTAAATAAATATGCAATATCTGACATACAGAGTCAGATCTACTGACCCCTAAAAAAATGTTTAAATTGTGGAGGTTGAGGATTCACATTCTCACTGCTAACTCACACACTATGCCAAGCTGAGCTGCTCATGCATGCTCAGAGCAAAATCAAGTGCTGAAAGGGCAGAGGAAATTCCTTCTTCTGTTTGAAATGCTTCACAGTAGGGAACAATAGGAGGCTGTACGTGGGCCTTATTGGAGGAACTTATGGCATGCATATGATTGTTCGGAGTCACTAGTCCCAGTGATCTGACATGCTCTTTCCTCAAGGAAAGGTGTTGTCTTTTTCCAGGAAACTGTCAGCATGCGAGAGAGAGACCATTAAACAATCATGTTCAGTCTCACAATTGAAACACATCAGGGGAAAGCAAAATGTCATGATGTCATGCGAGGGCAAACAAAGCATACATGCTCACACATCTTACCTTTGGGCCAGACAATAGCACAAAGAGAACCCTGGTCAAACAGGCAGGCAAGCTTTCCATGGAAGTTGACAGGATGGGTTTGGGGAAAATGAAAATATTTTGCACATTCTGTGAGAAACTGTACCGCCTCCTTTTCAGGCAACTTCTCCAAACCTCTGATGGGTTAAAGAAGAACCTAGACCTAACCAGTGGATGTGAGTGTTGGGTTAGGAAGGCACAGTTCTTATGGTGACCTGTTGGCATAGAAACCATTCTGGGAGAAGCAAGCTTTTTCGTGGACTGACATGTGACATACCAGTGAGTCAGGCCTTGCAATGCCAATTAGAATGCCTAGGGTAGATTGCCCTCACTCACCATTCTGATAGTTTAGACTACACTTTTCTTTCTCTCTTCCTCTGGATAAAAAGATCTATCCCAGCCTAACACCATGATCTGAAGGAGGAGGTCTCCAACATTTGGAATTTGGAAAGAGTGTCCCAGGCACTTTCACAAAATGGCTGACATGGTGGACATGGGTGGTCACAAAACACTCCTAGAAGGACAGCTGGTGAGTCTAACAGAAGAATAACTTGTCCAAGAAAATTAGTTCAAGGCAGAGGTAGGATCTGCAAAGCACAAAACC